ATGCACATATCAGAGCGCATCTCAAGGAAGGTGGGAGACGACTTCTGATGTCTGGTGGTGGTGACGACGTGAGCAAATTTAGGAGATAAGCCATTGATGGCATAAATGACTAGGTTTCTTTCAGATAACGGGGATCCAATGTTAGCAAGAAGGTCGGAGATGGACTTGATGTGAATACAATACTCCATAACCGAAGAATCTCCAATGGTGATGGTACGAAGTTCATCATCTAATTCCATAACTTTTGTCTCTTTATTCTCATGAAACAAATCTTCAATGGTCTTCCATACGTCTGTTGCTATGTCGCCGAGTTTGAGAATAGACTTGAGAACAAGTTGATTAAGAGTGCTATATAACCATAGCTTGACAATATTGTCAATTGTCTCCCATTTTGGATCATCTTCAATCTTAGAACTGCCATAAAGATGACCATAGACTTTGTATCCAATGCAGTGAGTTTTAAAAAGTTCTTTCCGGGAGTCATAATTCAAGCGGTCGAGATCAAGAAGAAGGGGAACATAAGGTTTGTTGTTGGTTATCCCTTAAATTTTATCATTGGGAGAAGGTTTAGGAGTAGAAGAAGATCCAATCATAATGAAAAACGAGAAGGGAGAAGCTTTTAGGTAAACAAAGAGAAGAACATATGTAGTAGAATATAAGAAGATGACGACCACATGAAGGGATCGGTTAGGGTTAGGGATGATAGTAGCCTGATACCATGTTACAAAACATAATTTCCCATGAAGAAGCAACAAGCCTTTACGTGTAATATATATAAGAAATATACAATTGGGCTCAATGTACAAAAGTGAGCTAACTAAAGAACATAATACTTAGGCTAACAAAGATTTAGCATACAAATACATATAACGTCTAACAAATTTGAAATCTGTTTGTTCTTTAAATTCCATTTCGTTTTCTGAAAATCAAAACCTGGTGTATGCTTGAAAAAATTGTTGATTTTGTTGCCTCTGCGGATTCATGAAGATTTAAAATTCCTTTTAGTTTTTAGCTCAGATAAACTTTCTGTTTGTTGTATTTGTTTATTTAGTTTGTATATTGATGTCCAAAAAAGACCTAATAACATACAATTTCAGATTATTTATTTTGTATACTGATGTCCAAAATAATTAGATATAATTATATATGTTTATGTTCATTACAGGCCACGTGTATGCTATTGAAAGAGGATTGGAACACATGATAATCAGTGGCTACAAGAGCTTGCTAACTATCGCTATTCGTTGGAATTGATTTTATGAATGACTGATTTTGTTTATGCTTGAAAAACATGAAATGCTGAACTTGAAAATTTGAAATGTTTAAGTGCACAAACCTTGAAGAATGGTTAGAAACAAATGACCTAAAATCATGTTTTTTGTTGTGTATATCCTTTTCGTTATTGTTTTGCATGTGTTTACAGACCCTTCAAGATGATAGAATACTTAGAGGAGTAAGAACAAAATAAAAATCCAACAAACATGAGTCCTTTGTTTTGCGTAATTCTTATGATTTTTTATTTGTTCAATTTAGTCACATGTGGTAAGAATATTTTAATCTTTTTAATGGTTTGTCGGT